TGAAAGCAGAGAATATCAGAAAGATGTTTATTGACTATATAAAGGCTTTCAACTGTGTGGATAATAACAAACTATGGATATTTTTTGAAGAATGGGTGTTCTAGACTTTTAATTGTGCTCATGAGACCAAGAAGCAGTTGTTAGGATAGAACAAGGAGATAATTAATGGTGTGTGTATCAGGGTTGTAGCCTTTCCCTGTATTTATTCAGTCTGTATGCTGAGCAAATGATCTGAGAAGTCAGATTACATGAAGAAAGAATGTGGCATCAGGATTGGAAAAAGACTCATGAACAGTCTGTGATACATAAATGACACAACCTTGTTTGCTAAAAGCAAAGAGGTTTTGAGATACTTATAGCTTTCAGTATGGATTACACCTTAATGTAAAGAAAATGAAAATCCCTACAACTCCACCAATAAATGACATCATGATAAATGGAGAAAAGATTGAAGTTGTCCAAGACTCAATTTGCTTGGATCCATAATCAATGCTCATGGAAGCAGCAGTCAAGAAATCAAACAATGTATTGCATTAGGTAAATCTGCTACAAAAGATCTCTTGAAGGTGTTAAAAGGCAAAGCTTTTGAGGACAGTGGTACACCTGACCCAAGTTGTGATATTTTCAGTCATTTCATATGCATGTGAATGCTGGGCAGTGAATAAGAAAGACCATAGTAAAATTGATGCATTTGAATTCTAGTGTTGGTGAAGAATGTTGAAAGTACCTTGGACTACCAGAAGAACAAACAAATGTCTTGGAAGAAGTACAGCCAGAATGTGCATGCTGTCGTACTTTGGACCTTTTATCAGGTGGGACCAATCCCCGAAGAAGGACATCATTGCTTGGTAAAGTGGAGGGTCAGTGAAAACAAGGAAGATCCCCACTAAGATGAATTGACACAGTGGCAGCAACAGTGGGCTCAACAGAACAATTGTGAGGATGGTACAGGACTGGGCAGTGTTTCGTTTTGCTGTGCATAGAGTTGTTTTGAGTCAGAACCTACTAGACAACACCTAACAACAAACCACAAGATAGGCAGTTCAAGCTCACCAGACTCTCTTATAAACCCTGTGCAGGGTTGCTATGAGTCAGAACCAACTAGGGGACACACAGCAAAAATTACCTTATTGTTAGTAAATATGTATGACATGCAGTGTTGCAACTGATATAACCTCGATCACACAAATGGAATTGGACTAATATTTCAGCACCTTTCTTTGCTATCTTAAGAGTGTGTCTTGAAGATCGTTCTATACTTGTCTGTTTAACTTAAATATCAAAAAGATGGACAAACTTAGTAGAAATAAAAACAAACCTTTAAAAATAAGAAACATAATATTGTAGGGGAAATTTTTTTTTTTTCAGTAAGTTTATGTGCTAGCTTTCTGATTATGGGAGAATAAAAATAAACTTCCATAAAAATAATTTATGTAATTAACAAATGACATAGTTGAAGACATGAGAAAAAAAAAATAGAACTCTAGTTTTATTTATCATTTGGAATACAAGGACAATACAAGGGCTGGAAATTTGCAACTTTTCTGTGGGGTGAAAATGCTAAAATTGGACTGCTATTTTTAAAACTTGTGGCAAGGGATGAAAACCATTTTGAACACAGGAAAGGATATATTCAGACTAGTCAAGACCACAGAGTTTCAAAGCCAGCCATGACAGAACTAATGTCTTGCAAGCTTAGGGAATTACATTTAAAGATTCTAAGAGGGTAGTTTAATCTCTTTCAACATAAAGTAAGTATGCCTTAGTAAGTAAGTGAATAGTTTTAAATATAGTAAAAAACTTATAAAAGTGAAAATACAATAAAATGTGAATATTTAATGTTAAGACGTAAGAAACTGCATTTGGAGAGTAAGATAAATTTCATTTACCCTTGTTCAATTCACTGATTTGAGCTCTTCAGATTTTTTTAAAACACAGTCAAAGTAGCAAATGAACAATTGTATATAAAACAACAACGGCCAATATTTTAATTAAAAATTAATCAGAATCAGATCCCAGAATAATTATAAGAGATAGGATTCTGTCATTTGGAAGGAACACCAAAACCAAAACCAAAAATTAAAAGCCCAAGCTGATACACAGCTCACAAATGATAAATGAGCCATACACTTAATATGATGTTTAGGTGGCTAGAGGTCAAATCAACTTCATGGAATACATTCCTTTGAAAATTGATGTGTTTGTCTGAAAAAAAATTAGAAATGTTCAGAGATGATGTTGAATCTTGTATAAATATAATTACATAAAAATTAGGATTTCAAAAATTAGTTTTCTTTATTAAAAAAATAAATTCATTGTGAATTGGGTGAAGGTTTACAGAACAAATCAGTTTTCCAGGCAACAGTTCATTAACATTTTGTTTCAGATCACTGATTGCAGTCCCAACAATGTAACATCATTATCCCACTTCTTTGTGTTTTTCATTTCTGTTCCTCCTCCTTTCCTAACCCTTCCTTCCTTCTGAACTTTGTCTTTGGACACATGCTGCCCTTTTGATCCCCAGTGGTTGATTGTTCCCAGGCATGTGTACCTCCCTAGTGAGATTGTTCACCTTGTACACCTGTCTATTGTTTGGCTGAAATCTGAGCCACGGAAGGAAGTTCAGTTGTCTTAAAAAACCCTGGCTTCCATTTCCCCCCCCTGAAGTACATAGTAGGTCTCTGATACAATGAGGTATAAATGAGGTGTGCAGCATGATTTATATTCATTTTTAGCTTTGCATTGGGCAAACCACTAAGTCTTTAAAAAAAAATAAATTTTATTTTATTTTTTTTATAAACATAGCATGATTTTTTTCTCATTTATAGGGTAAGCAAAATTTGTGTAACATACTTTTTTTTTTCAGTGAATAAGTATATATTCATAGCAGTTTTACAAAAATAGTATAACCTGTTTGTAGTCTGGTTTTATTTAATTAATAATATGTTGAGCAGTTTTATATGTCAATAAATATTTTGCTACAGCATTACATGTAAAGGCTGAATAGTATATCACTTTATATTCATAATTTAACTGATTTTTTGTTATTGGATATTAGGTTTAGCTGTCCTAACCTATCCTAACGGGTATATCTTTGTATTGTTGTTGTTGTTATTAAGTGTAGCTGAGTCAGTTCCAACTCAATAGTGACCCAGTGTAGGGTTTCTGAGGAGGGGCTGGTGAGTTTGAACTGCCAACCTTGCAGTTCCAACTGACCTTAAGGTCCAGTGCTTTACAGCACCACACCAGGTATTGAACCATGGTTATTTCTTTAGGATAAATGTTGTTGTTAAGTGCTGTTGAGACAGTTTCCAAGGATTGACTATTGTGTTTGAACTACCAACCTTGAGGTTAGCAGTCCAGTGTGTATCCTACAGCACCACATCAGGACTCCAGCGTAATGTTAAGATCTGATATTTCTGGGACAAATGTGATGAGTACATTATTTTAAAACGATTTTTGATATTTATAGTAAAATGGTTTCCAGGAATATTGAAATAATTTATAGCTTCACTTACTATGCTTAACTATATGTGACTCTCCATACAACTGAGTTGTTGGGACTCTCCATGCAGATATTCTATCCTTCCCCCATTATAGTTCATTTATAGCCTTACTTTCACCTGTGTGTCTGTTTGTAATACTGTAGTGTCTTATGTATTGATATGCGCCTGAAAGCTATGCAACCAGTATTTCAATTATCTATAGGGTCATCCACAGTGGATCGATTTCAACTTTACTTCCGGACTAAGGTAGACTGTGAAGAAAGGTTTTGTGATCTTCTTCCAAAAATCAGTCAGTGAAAATCTTATAGATCACAACAAAATGTTATACCATATAGTGCTGAAAACAACTCAATTATTTAAAAAGTAACAGTTACACTGCGACATATTAAAAGCTTGTGATCTTGTAATACTATGTTTAGATGTCTAGCTTATAGAAATAAACATGGATATTCATAAAGATTTATCTAAGGCATTTATTAAAGGGATATCCATTGCAACATTGCTTATACTAATGAAAAATTGGAAGTAATGCAAATACCCTGAAACAAGGGATTCATCAATTAAGTTATGTTAATGATATGTGGCCATTAAATATTACATTGTTGAAGAGCATGAAAATATATTCATGAAAATAAAATAGCTTAGAACATAGCATCCTCATATTTTTACCCCCTCAAAAAATTACACATGTGCTTAGCAAGTAGACCATAAATACATAGACTCCAAAATGATTGCTGTTGTTGTTAAGTGCCATTGAATCCGTTCCAATTAATAGGGACTCTGCAGAGGGTTTCCAAGGAGCCGAGGGTGGGATTGAACCACTGACCTTGTGGTTCTAACTGAGCACGTGGTCCAGTGCTTACTGTCCGGTGCTACACTAAGACTCCATGATTATAGATAGTTGTAATTTCATGTTTTGTGCTTTTGATGTACCGGTTACTTTCTGTAATGAATGCTAGTTTGCTTTTCTTATTACCTAGTTTTCAATTAAAATTTTTTTTTTAGTTTGTCTTGCCTGCTCTGAGTATGAAGTGCTCAACTGACAGCAGGGGAAGGAGGTGGTATTGGTAATTTGCATATTATAAAACTGAACAATAAAATCAGAAGCTCCATTCTAGGGTGAGCAAATGCTAACTTTATTCTGTTTGTGGACATTAAATTTTACTTTCTGATCTCATCCATTATATTTTTAAATGTTACTTTCCTGAAACTTGAAATCCTTTTTTTTTTTTAATTGAAATTATATAGACTCTTGAGAAATGCCTGTACCATGTTAAAACACGAGGTGTGAAAAACAGCTGTTCCTTCCCCTTCCTAGGTCTCAGTTATTGTTTGGGTGGGATTGTTACTGGGCGACCCACTATTTGTCCCTTGTCACTCAGACCTCTTGGGTGACTTCTAGAAAATGCACTTTCTCTGTAGCTTATGTTATATAGAAAAATGCTTCCAAAGAGTTAACCTTTTTATAACATTATTTTTTGTAGATATATATAAAGATCTGAAGAACGTTTTTCTTGTACAAAGATGGAAAACAGTACAACTACCATTTCTCGAGAGGAGCTGGAAGAGCTACAAGAAGCCTTTAATAAAATAGGTATGCTTTAGGAAAGTGAAATATGATACTACTGTTCTTGATGGTAGACTTCCAGGAATGGAACAATGCCTTTGTAGCTACTACCATTGCCCAGCTACCCCAAAGCTTTCTTTATTTTCTGTCTTAACTTTCACTGGATTCTTCTTTCTTTCTGAGAGATAAGCTAAGACTGGCTTGAATTTCTAGGTAAATTGGACTTTGAATTCTTTGATCATTTCTTTGCAGAGAGTAATCCAAGTTAATGAATGACAGTGTAACTGAATATGCTTCACATGGTAACTTCATTACAGGAAAAAAAATAAAATACAGAAACACTTCCTTGTATATAAACTGAACTCTGGCCTTCACATCTCTGTTGCTAGTAATAACATTTTCTGACTCCATGCTGTATGCTTTAAAAATCCAGGTATTGTTTATAAATGCTGTTATGTCTGAAATTTGGTCCCCTTCATACATAATTTTTTAAAGGTTGTTGTTGTTAAGTACTGTGGAGTGGGTTCCAACTCATAGCGATCCTGCACAGGGTTTCCGAGGCTGTAAATCTCTATGGGAGCAGAAAGCCTTATTTTTCTCCCGCGGAACAGCTGGTAGTTTCGAACTGCCGACCTTGAGGTTAGCAGCCCGATTCATAACCACTATGCTACCAGAGCTCCTTTTTGTAAAGGTTAGTATTTTTTAAAAAGACTTAGGTCTTCTTTTTCTTTTTTTACTTTTTAAAGCCATTCATTGTTTTCCCTTTGTGACATAATCATTTTGACAACTTTGTATGTTTCTTCCAAAAAATTTTCCCATTCCCTGTTGGATCTTTATTCTTCTGTATTTTGCTCTTATGTAACCTGTGGCACACAGAGGGAATGTAAATACCGTCTTTGCATTAGTCTGGAAATGCATGGAAGTGAAAGGTGAACCCAGTGAAAGGTGAGCGGGTGAGTTGACGTTGGGCAGTGACACCGTTATTCTTGTCCCTTCCTTAGTAGGCTTCTGTCTTCAGCTGGGTTCTCTCAAGGGGCAAAATCAGTGAAGTGAAGCGTGTGTGTGTGCATACACAGGTAGATAGTTTTATATAACTGAATACAGGTTTACAGATTTATAGATATAAGTATATGTATATGGAGTCCTGGCGTGGCGCTGTAGGATAAGCATTGGACTACAAAATCGGAATGAACTGCAAGGTTGGTGGTTCAAATCTACCAGCTGCTCCTTGGAAACCCTAAATAGGGTCACTATGAGTCAAACATCAACACAATGGCACTAAACAACAATAACTATACATACCTCTCTATATGTTTGTATGTATATATATATTTAAAGAGAGAGAGAGAATAATTTCTTGCAATAAAATAGCTCATGCAGTTGTGGAAGCTGACAAGTGCTGGCTTGTGGTTGTAGGGGCAGGCCAGATGGCATCTGCTGGTTCACGTCTCAAGAACCTGAGATCAGAGGATGATGAGTGGAATGCAGTTCGAGAGAATGAGCTTTGCTATGTATATTTGATGCAGGCCACACCCTCCTCAAGGAACCCCCTCTTTTAACTGATTGACTGTTCACATCAGAATACAAATTGGAGGATGATTACACAGTATCTGCCAAACCACTGAGAGTCATGGCCTCGCCTAACTGATGCATAACCTTAACCATCTCACTCCTTCTTTCGTTCAGTACATCATTCCATGAAAAACAGAGCTAGATGGTGGAACAGCCAGGATGTAATGAGTCCAGTGTATCTTGTGGTTAGATTTATCACAAACCTGGTGAATAACAACTAAACCTAATTGCAGGGTGACGAATTACTTGATAATGACCCTTCTAGTTATAGTTTTTGTAACTCTTGCCCAGTGACTGGGTCATTGTTAGTTTTTAAGTGGTGTTGAGTCAGTTCTGATTCATAGTGACCCTGTATAGAATTTCCAAGGAGTGGCTGGTGGGTGTGAACAACCAACCTTGCAGTTAGCTGTGCTTATTCTATAGCACCACACCAGGACTCCAAAATCCTGGGTTAGACTGGGTTGTAGTTGTTGTTAGTTGCTGTTGAGTCAGTTCCAACTTCTAGCGAACTTATGCACAATAGAGCAAAACACTACCTGGTCCTTTGCCAAGCTTGAGACCATTACTGCTGCCACTTTATAAATCCAGCTCATTGGGGGTCTACCTCTTTTTTGATGATCCTCCACTTTGCCAAGCATGCTGTCCTTCTCCAGGGACTGGTCCCTCCTGATACTGTGTCTTAAGTATGAAAGACAAAATTTGGCCATCTTGGCTTCTAAGGAACATGCTAGTTGTACTTATTCCATCACAGATTTGTTTGTTCTTCAGGCAGTCCATGGTCCTTTTAATATTTTTCTCCAACACCAGAACTCAAATACAACAATTCTTCTACAGTCTTCCTTCTTCATTGTCCATCTTTCACATGTACATCAGGCAATTGAAAATACCATAGCTTAGATCAGGTATACTTTAGTCCTCAAATTGACATATTTGCTCTTGAACACTTTAGAGAGTACTTCTGCAGTAGATTTGCCTAATGCATATATTTGATTTCTTTACTGATGCTTCCATGAGTATTGATAGTAGATCCAAGAAAAATGAAGTCTTTGACAACTTCAATCTTTTTTTCATATATCACAATGTTATTTATGGTCTAGTGGAAAGCCTCATCTTTCTCCTGTGGAACAGCTGGTAGTTTCAAACTCCTGACCTTGAGGTTAGCAGCCCAACTCGTAACCACTATGCTCTCAGAGTTGTTAAGTGCTGTTGAGTCGACTCCAACACATAGCGATCCTGTATAGGGTTTCTGAGGAGCAGCTGTTGAGTTTGAACTGCCAACCTTGCAGTTCAAATGGCTTTGCAGTCTGGCACATAATACACAGTACCACACCAGGACTATGCAAATGTAAGGTGCTTGTGGTCCAGTAAGAAGATTGGATAACTTGATAAAAATAAGGTTCATGGCCCTCTTATGGGTGGGACAGTGCACATAAATTATATGGAACCCCATCTGAGGGATTGATAAATTGCCTTCCTGCTAGGCTTAAAATGAGCCAGTCTAGATGCCATTAAGAAAGAAGAGCCAGGAGAGGAGACTGTCCTTTGGACCTGAGATCCTTGTGCTGAATCTCCATGATCCAGGAACAGAGGTCTGACACCAAAAGTGGCTAGAGACAGTCAGAGGTAGCCGCAGAGGAGGCAGAGCCAGGAGCTTCCCAGCCCTTGGAGTGAGAAAACTGAGTGCCCTCAGGCAAGAAGCATGCTAGTTGGTACTTGTCTCTAGTTGGGAGCTAGAGAAGAACACCTTCAAGTTGAGGCTTATTGGTGGAGTGGGATGCCTCTGGGTATTTATCCACAGAGCTAAAAGAGCTCTGTTAACACTTACCTGGGAGGGACAGAGGCTACAGAACTGCTGGACCTCAGCGCCACAGGGCCTGGATGGGGCCTGGGTGTGCCTGTGGATACTGCTGAGAAGAGGCTGTTCTGAGCTAAGCATTGTATCCTGATCCTGAATTCTGTAACAGGTTAATTATAAGTTATCAGGTTTATTAGGCTATTAGGTCAGTTCTGTGTGGCCACTGCAACAAATTACCAAACTCAGTGGAGAAGTAGACAGTGCTATGAGAGGGACAGTTGGTGTTAGAAATGATAAAAAGATGGGAGGGTGGATGCATATATGACCTCTAGCTCATAGGAATCAGCCTGATGATTCTCTCTCCCCCTTGTTAAGTGAGAGGTCAGATGCCACCCCATGCCATCCTTTATACCAATGTAGATAAATAACCATGCAGAATGAGTTTTAGATCAGTCCAAAGAAAAAAGATTTAAGTTTTAAAAAGTGAATCTACTTGGGAACTCCTGGGCCCAGAGTCAGTGACATAGCCACATAGGACTAGAGTAGAGAGTGAAGCGTCCAGCTGATAAGAAGAGAGGGCATATGCATAAGACCACCCACACCTACAGATAATACCCACTTGACCTGCCTTCAATGACTGGATGATCAGAGCTCAACTAGAAGAAGAAAGAAGAGCAAAAAAAGAGTAATCTGATACAATTTGATGAACTTGATCTACACCTATGGATGCAGTAGCTCAAAAGAGGGAACAAATCCTTACAGTGAGGATAATTCCCACCCCCTCCATACACAGAGTAGACAGGGATGGGCAACTTGGACATTGGCTACCCAAAATGGGGGGCTACAAAGGCAAGAAGTGACTGGCTTACAAGCTTTCAAGTGGGAACCTAGATCCAGAGGGTGTGGAGGAAGAATCTCCACTGAGTACTATCTGATCAGTCTGAGCAAGGCTGATGAAAGGAGATGCGGAAAAGTCTCTTGTGATACAATAGTGAATAATTGTTATCAGGACTAATTGTGAAGGTTGAAAATGTAAAGGTAGATGTTTAGTAGCAAAAGGAGGGGAGTGATTGACTTTGCAGTCTAGGAGCGGAGGTCCCTGGGACCATCAAGGGAGAAGAGCAGAGAGCAGGACCCTACCCAGAGAAGCAGTTGACGCCAGAGATAGAGGCAGAGATGATGATGTGGAGAGATGGAGCGGCTGGGGACTTTAGACCCAGAGAGGGAGAGGGGCTGTGACCGGGGTTGGGGGGGGGGGTGGGGGGAGGCTTGCGACTTGCAGGATATAGCCTTCAGTTGGTTGATGATGCAGAGATTGTAACCATGGCAATGAAAGGATATACAACAGAATGAATTTAAAGCTAATGTTCTCCCATGTAAACTATCACATAATTCACAATAAAACATTTTTTTTAAAAAGTACATCTAGTACTTCCCCACAAATAAAAAGGGTAAAGTTCTCAGAAAACTCATGACCTGTGCAAATCATTGCTGTGAAATAATTGTGGATCCTTGTACCTCCCTTGCACAGCCTTTCTCAACCCAAACTTTCAAAATACCATCTACATGGTAGCTGAATCAGGTGATTTGTGAATGCCTTAATCTTGGCCTTTTCTTTCTGTTGAGGACTGGATAAGTGTTTGTCATCAGAACATGAATTAAATGAATATGGTATCGTTTTTAGGAAAAAAAAATCATAATCAATGTTTTAGAGGATTGCATATAGTGCCATACAGAACAGTGCTAAGAGTGTTTTCAAGACAAAAATTGGGTCATCTGCACATTTCAAGCATTGGAATAGAGGAAATATGCGAGTATATTATTGCCTTTGTGTGTATTTCCTTTGTTTTTTAGATATAATTTGGTAGCCTAAATAAAAGTGCTTCCTAGTTCTTAGTAAAATGAATAAATTAGTAATCTATTTTCTTTGCTTAGCACACTAATCTTTATGACTCATGGACATATAATCTTGTAATATTTATTTAATGATATGTTGAATAAATAATACATTGGTGGAACAATTCTGGCAGCAAGATAATTTTCTATGTGAGAGAAGTGCTAACACTTGTAACTTTTACAAGGTAAATTGCTACTCAAGAACTCAATAAGCCCTCTGCTAATTTGAACAAAACAACTTTTCTCAGAAGCAGAGGGACATACCCATATAACCTTAATAGATGAGATACTTTGGGGTCACTGGGAAGGATTGTAGGGTTAAAATATTTCTTTTCTTTTTTTTTTAAACTATAATATTGCAATGGTTATTTATCCTAAACCTTGATTTTCTGTCTTTAAAATTCAAAAGATGTTAGCAGCTACCTGAAAGTTGTAAGGATTTCATACAGTAAGTCAAGTTCTTAGCCCAATACATGACACACAATATATGCTCATTAAATGTGTCTATTATCTTTTTTCATGTAACACAGAGATTGTAAGGGGTGGAACTGGTATTTAAGTACCTAGATCTATTTTGAGACTTCTAGCTCTTAACCATTCATAGCATTTTAGTATGATGGTTGGCAGGTAGATAACTTTTCCCTCCAACTTATTGTTAAACATTCCCCACCGCAGTGCTGGCATAGAAGAAGTAAGCCAGCCTAGTTTATTTCAGAACTAACAGAAAAGATTTAGGGTTGGTGCTGTACCAATAAAGAGATTTTTGCTCTGAATTCAAAGAAAGTAACGCTGTTATTACAGTATCAAACAACTCAACTTCCTAGCTAATTTATGAGAGCATAGTAATATTTTGGTTATTGGTGGATTATGTGGTTGTTGTTGTTAAGTGCCATTGAGTAAGTTGTAACTCGTAGTGACCTTATATATGGTTTCTGAGAAATGACTGGTGAGTTTGAACCACCGACCTTGTGGTTCAAACTGACCTTGCAGTCCAGTGTTTATCCTTCAGAGCCACACCAGGACTCCTGGTGGATTATAGGTGATAAATTTTCCATACTTTAGAATGGAATTAATTAAAGAATATGAGCGCTCAAAAGAAAAGGGTCTATTTAATCAGTTTCCATGACCCTGAGACTGGAAGAACTAGATGGTCCCTGGCTACCACTACTAACTGCTCTGAAAGGGATCACATGAGAAGGCCCTGGAAAGAGTGGTAGAAACTGTAGAACAAAACTCAAAATTACAAAAAAAAAAAATGCCCAGGCTTACTAGTCAGATAGAGACTGGTGGAGCCCTGAGACTATGGCATTGGTCACACTTCAGGTCTGGATCTGAACTCACCCCGTGTCTCAATTTTCAGCCAAGTAACAGCATAGGTATATATTGTTGTTGTTAAGTGCCATTGTGTCAGTTCTGACTCATAGCGACCCTGTATAGAGTTTCTGAGGGGCAGCTGGTGAGCCTGATCCACCGACCTTGTGATTCAAACTGAGGGGACAATAACACTTGCAAGGTACATATGCCATTGAATCGTCAACCATTCATGAACAAAAGGGCAGCATTTACCCAAGGACAAAGTTCAGCAGGGTGGAGAATGAAGGAGCAATGGAAACAAGAAACTCAGGGAGAAAGTGGGATAAGAAAACAAAGAAAAATAAATATAAATACATAATTTACAAAAACAACGTTTCTGTTCTTCTTATTCAGCTATAGTGATGACAACTCTTTTACTAAGAGGAAAAAGAAATACGGGAAAGAAAGTGATTACTAACAGAGGAGCAAAGAGAGCCTATACAATGTGCATCCAGGCAACTAACAAAACAATCCACAGCTCTCTTGCCAACTCTAGGAAGACGTGTTTTGTGTCGCTTTTGTTCTGTGTCAAGAAATGATAGCCTCTAGGAAAAGCCTAAGGAAGGGCATCTAAACATTGATGTGAAGACACCTGGAAAGCTGTTTTCAAAAGTCCAAATATAGGTGTGAAATTATTTCTCAAATACCTAATCTCAAAATGATATCAGACATGATTCAACCTACATAATGATACCATAAATACATAATGAAGAAACAATGAATTACTGATGAATGAAACAGACCTGCCATTAAGTGGCAGAAATGCCTTATATGTATTTCATATGATGCATTTATTTTATATAGAACACGAAGCTGCTAGATACATTTTGTAAATTGCCACTAAGCAGTTAAAGTGTGGATAGATGCACTTTGGTGAGTAGCGAATGGGGTCTTATAGGTTGGTGAGTGGCCATGGTCTTTCCCCATCTGAAGAAAGAAGAATGAAGATAAGACATATGGGAGCAGTTAGTCCAAGGACTAATAGACCATGTAAACTCCAGCCTCAGTTATCCTGAGACCAAAAGAAGAACTAGATGGTTCCCAGCTACCACTGCTAACAGCTCTGAAAGGGATCACAGTAGGAGTTTCTGGATAGAGTGGGAGAAAAATGTGGAGAAAGACCTCAAAATCATAAAAAAGTCCAGGCTTACTTGTATGCTAGAAACTGTTAGAACCCATGAGACCATGGCCCTTAAAGACCCTTCAGCCCTGGCACTGAACTTATCCTGGTGGTTTTGCTTTTGGTCAAATGATAGACAGACCTACAAGGTGAACAATGTTGTTGTTAAGTGCTGTTGAGTCACTTCCGACTAATAGTGACCCTGTACAGGCTTTCCAAGGAGCGGCTGGTGAGTTTGAACTGCTGACCTTGCAGTCTAGCCTATTGTCCTGCAGCACCACACCAGGACTCAGGTGAATAATAATATCAGGGAAATACACATTCCTTTGAACAATCACCCATACGAGATCAAAAGAGCAACATTTATCCAGTAATAAGGCTCAGAAGGCTGAAAAGGGTAGGAAAAAAGGATGAATGAAAATGTTAGACATACACAGAGAGGAAATGTAGAGTGCTATGATATTGTTGGGATTGAAAGCAATGTCACAAAACAAAATGTTCATGAATCGTTGCTCTGTGAACTTTCTCCCAAACCACAATAAAAAGTCAAAAAATAAAGTCTTGATGGATAGTCCCTCTTGACTATTGTTGATATTTCTTTGAGACATCGGAAACTTCCCCATAATTAGTACTTGATGCTTAGTCATGTGCTAAGCCTGGGTTTTCCACCTGTCCGAGCACTGTTCATACTGTGCACTTACATAGATAACATGGCCACCATAAATTTAGGAGGGTAAACTCCACTTAAATATGAGTGTTTTGCTACAGTGCACAGCATGCCCCATAGAGTGCAGGTTTAGAGGAGGAAGTGCTGCCTCTGAAACAAACATGAAAGGTTCTGTCTGGCTATAAATACTCCAGATCACCATCAGAGTGTACCTGTTTAACAAAGAGAACAAATTACATTTGACAGCTCGTATTTTGTCTTTTCAGATATTGACAACAGTGGGTATGTCAGTGACTATGAACTTCAGGACCTGTTTAAAGAAGCAAGCCTTCCTCTACCTGGCTACAAAGTGCGCGAGATTGTGGAGAAAATTCTAGCAGTTGCTGACAGCAATAAAGATGGCAGAATCAACTTTGAAGAGTTTGTGTCAGTAAGTAATCTGATCCTCTTCTCGATACTGTTCAGTTTGCTTCAAGCAGAATTTCAGTAATGTTTACTTCTGTTTAATCAGGCTGCAGAAACCAGAAAAAGTACTGCTTTAAAATGATGATGGTAATAATAGAATAAAACACTAAGGATTTCCACAAACAGTTCGTAAAACAAAGGGGGAAAATGATCTTTCTCAAATTGTTGGAATGGAAGTCAGGTTTAATTAATGGTAATTCATGTCCTAATGTGATTACAATAGAATACAATTCATATAAAGCTTCTCTGTATACAGAGTGTTTTTGGACCCCACCAAAAAGGTAAAAAACAACCTACAAGTCTAAGTTATTGGGCTTGAAAAATGAAATAGTACTCATAGGTGCTATAATCGAAGAAGCTAAGGTATGGGACAAGTACGTTCTAGAAACTGGTTTGTACTTCCTTCAGTAAAGAATAGCTTCCATTTTAGCCGGTGCCACCAGGTAATGCTAGCTACTTAGTAGCTTCATTACATTGTTAAACTACCTCTAGGCTCAGGTAACTGAACAAGGTGAAAAATAATATGACCCAATTAATAAAAGAAAAAAAGATTATAGAACTACCATATATTTTAAGCTGCTCAGGCCAAGAGAGATGACTGTTGGCGATTAAACAAGAGCTGTTGTTTTCTTCCATCCGCACCATTATGACTGTGTTTTTCATGTGAAAATGTAACTATTAATATACTGTATTTATGAAATAGAAGTAATCTGGTTTTACATTTGCCATTCATTAAATAAATATTTGAGTGTCTCCTTCCCAGGACCTCTACTAGGTATTGTGAATCATGTAGTAAGCAAAAAGTGATGTAATCCCTGATTTCATGAATTTTACATTTGCTGAGGGAGGCAGAAACACATAAATGGATAAAAGATAATACTGTGATAATTGCTATGACCCCTCAAAAGTTGACAGGGAGACTGAGGGAAGTGTGAGCTAAATGTAAGAAAGAATTAAAGGCAGATCCAGTGGAGGAAATGAATAGTGTGCTAGACAGAGGAGATGGCATATGCAAAGGCCCAGTGACAGTAAGGGGAGACTGAGGTAAGTGTAGCTGGAGCTGAGATGGTAAGAATAAGAAATATGTGAGAGCAGTAGGTTGGGGTCAGTAATGCAGGACCTTTTCATTTTTATGTGAATAGCAGTGAGAAACCGGCCAAGTGGGAGGCCCAGAGTTTGAAGTAATATGCATTTAGAAATATGTAAGATTTGCATTTAGAAACAAATCACTTTGGCTGCTACCTGGAGAATGAGTTGAATTCAGTCTTGCCTGTTTCTAGAGAACTCAGTAAGAGAGCAATTGGGAGAGGAAGCTTCTGTAAGGCCCTGTGCTTTTCTGTAAAGCTCATGTACATGACTGAGTATATATACATTTAAGATATTCCAGTCAGGAAAATATTTTCATTTAAGGCATTTCTTTTATCATGTAGTCAGTTTAGATTTGACTTAAAGAAAGATCGTGGCAAGTCAAGAATAATTTCAGTGTGTTCAATTTAAGCCCAGTTAAAACAAAGTTTATTTTTGGCCAACATTTGTCAGTTTTGTGTTGTTGTATTGGTAAAGTGACACTAGCATTATCTGTGTATAAAAGCATTTAAATGCCTTAAGAACATCTAATTAGTATTTAATTTGGTGTCATTCCAAATGAATCACATTTTAATATTCTGACTATCTGACCCTGGCTCCATTTTACTTATATCCCTTCTCAGCTAATGCAGGAGTTAAAAAGCAAAGACATCAGCAAAACATTCCGAAAAATAATTAACAAGAAGGAAGGTATTACTGCAATTGGAGGAACTTCAGCGATTTCCAGTGAGGGCACACAGCATTCTTACTCAGGTAACTTCCTTCTTTAAATTTGCTCTTTGGGTCACGGACTCAACAATTACCATATTTCATCAAGTCCAAGATGTGATTCATGATAAGTCATACCATTATTTTATGACCATTGATGGGAAAAAATACTGCAAACCGAATTATAACATGTCATCAAATTTGAAATTACTTAAATTTCAGAGATAACAAAACAAAAATCTTAGAATCATTGAAATCAGTGAGTTTCTACTATGTGTCAGGCACAGTACTTATCAAAGAAATTGTTGTTTAGTGCCTTTGAGTCAGTTCCACCTCCAAGGGACCCTGTATAGGGTTGCCAAGGAGCAGCTGGTGAGTTTGAACTACTGACCTTACAGTTTAAACTGACCTTCAGTTTGAGTGCTTATCCTGTGGTGCCATACTGGAATCATAGAGATTAGAAACAACAAATGGCAGTTATTTATATTTTAACATTGGGTGTGTTAACAATGACCATGTAATAGATTTTCCATCCTGACTGGCGAAGGGACCTGACTTTTAGACCTGGTCTGGGAATGGTGGAAGGACTTAGTATGAAGACTTTTCCTTTTCCTTTTCTGGGAACTGAAAGATCTGATTCATCTTTCATCAAGCCACAAAGTGACTAGAGAACACAGTACTTGATTTGTGTCATTTGATAGAACCACTGGATTGTTGCCCAGTGGGAAATTCAGAGTCACATGAACTCTGAGGAGGAGGCATCTTGTCTCAGTTAAGTCTAGTTCTCAGGGTCTAAGTAGCTGAGAAACATTGGCAAATTCCTTTTGTTCTCATAAACAGCAGTGTTTGTTTTAATTTTTTGACAAAAACTCCCTGTAACTTTCTCCTTTCTTTCTTCTGAATCTGTTTGATATTCTCTTTCTTCCATGCTCTGACTCCTTCTTTCTACTTAGATTTTCCTTTAATGGTACACTCAAATTGTTACCACCCACTGTATCTTTTTAATAACCTTTCCTCCTAAGGTAGAAGGTAAGTGTGGTGATCTATAATTGCTGTCTTTTGTTGTTTTTTTTTTTTTAAGGTATTCACTCCCCATCTCCAGTTTTGCCTGTTTATTTTATTGCAATGGTTTTCTTTCTAAAAAGATAAATAAAACAAACAACCTTTATTGAAGTATGCAGTCAACAGGACTCCTGGTGTGGCACTGTGGGATCAACACTGGACTGTGAACCAACCACAAGGTTGACAGTTCAAACCCACCAGCTGCTCCTTGGAAACCCTATACAGGGTCGCTATGAGTTGGAACTGACTTGACAGCACTTAACAACAACAGCAACAACAATGTAGTCAGCAAAGGGCTATCCTCTTAAATGCACTAGTCAATGAATGGGTGGCACAAACAGTTAAATGGTCTTTGACTAGCTGTAAAGAGCACCTTGGAAGACAGGCCTGGCATTTGGCTTCTGAAAACCTTAAGGAGTACAATTGTACCCTGACACACATGGGATCTCAGTGAGCTGAAATCAGCTCCCACAGCAACTAATGGCAGCATCCATCTATCCATCCATCCATCCAGTTATATCCATGTAGCTGCCAACCAGTTCAAGACATGGACCATTTTCATTACTTTGAATAACTCCCTCATGCTTCTTTGCAGTCCTCCCCAGAGATAATCACTTTTCCAACATCTGTCATCATAGAAACATAGGCGCTTTGGTGGAACAATTGGCTAAGTGTTCAGCTGCTAACTGGAAGGTCATTCGTTTGAACCCACCAGCTAATCTGTGGGACTAAGATGTGGCTGTTTGCTTCCATAAAAATTTCAGCCATCGAAACCCTTGGGGGCTTCCTATTCTGTCCTATAGGGTCAATATAAGTCAGAATTGACCTGAAGGCAACTGGGTTGGTGTTTTGGTTAATCACTATAGACTTTTTAAAAACTTGTTTATTAAGGTATAAGATGTACATAGTGAAGCACATAAAATTACACTAACCTTAAGGATATGTTTGATAACTTTTTGCATGTAAATGCATTCATGTAGATGTTACTTAGTACAAGACTTGTTGTTGTTGTAGTTAAGTGCCATCAAGTCTATTCCAACCCATAGTGACCCTGTATAGAGTACCCTGTGTAGGGTTTCTGAGGAGCAGCTGGTGAGCTTGAACTGCCGGCCTTGCAGTTCAAATGGCTTTGCAATCTGAAGCGTTAACCCACAGCGCCACATAGGTGCTGTCAAGTCAGTGCCAACTTACAGCAACCCTTTGTACAACTGAATGAAACACTTCCCAACTGTACCACTCTCATAATCGTTGCTGTGTTTGAGCTCATTGTTGAAGACACTGTTTCAGTCCATCTCACTGAGGTTCTTCCTTTTTTCCCTGACCCTCTACGAAGCATAATGTCCTTTTCCAGGGCCTGGTCCCTCCTGACAATATGTCCTAAGTATGTGAGACACAGTCTAATCATCTTTGCTTTTAAGGATCATTCTGGGTACACTTTTTCCAAGACAGATTTGTTTGTTTTTCTGCAAGTCCATGGTATATTCATATGCGTCACCAACATCAACAAGATCACTTGTCTGTCAGTTTTTTTGTACTGTGGTGACTTGCATGTTGTAATGGTGGAAGTTATGTCAGTGATATTTCAGATACTAGTAGGGTCACCCATAGTGGACAGGTTTCAGCCAAGTTTCCAGACTAAGACAGATGACTTATGAAAAAAAAATTGGCCAGTGAAAACCACATGAATAGCACTGGGAAATTGTGTAGAACAAGATCTAGAACATCAAATAACTTTAAGTGAAAATAGTTATTGTTGGTAGGTGCTGCCAAGTCTGTTCTGAGTCATAGAGACCTGATGCACGACAGTACAAAACACTGTCAACCCCACATTTGTTTTGCTTGAGCGCATTGCTTCTGCCCCTCCACCTTACCAAGCATGATGTCCTTCTCCAGGTACCATGTCATCTTGATAACATGTCGGAAATATGAGAGACATAGTCTGGCCATCTTGGCTTCTAAGGAACATTCATTCTTCTTCTAACACTGTTCTTCTGACAGTCCAGGGTACTTTTAATATTCTCCTCCAACACCATAACTCAAATGCATCAATTCATCTATGGTCTTCCTTATTCATTGTCTAACTTTTACATGCATATGAAACTATTAACAATACAATGGCTTGAGTCAGGCACATCTACATCCTCAAACTTACATCTTTACTTTTGAACATTTTAAAGAGTTCTTGTGTAGCAGATTTGTCTAATGCAGTATGTCATTTGATTTCTTTCTTTTTTTTTTTTAATGTTTTATTGTGAATTATATGATAGTTTACATGAGAGAACTTTAGTTGTACATTCATTCCGTTGTATATCATCTCATTGCCACGGTTCTAATACATTACCTCCATGCATCATCTACCAACCAAAGGGTATATCCTACATACCTGCCCCAATTTTTCGGCCAACAGTCCCTTTTCCTCTCTGGATCCAAAGCCCCCAGCCGCTTTACCACTCCACGTTGTCTTCTCATGTCATTTGATTTCTTGACTACTGCTTCTGTGAGTGTTGGTAGTGAATTCAAGCAAAATGAAGTCTTTGACAACTTTAATCTTTTCTCCATTTATCATGATGTTATTTATTGGTCCAGTGGTTAGGAGGATTTTTCGTTTTCTTTACGGTGAGATGCAACCCATACTGAAGGCTGTGATCTTTGATCTTCATCAGTAAGTATTTTAAGTCCTCCTAACTTTCAGCAAGCAAGGTTTTGTCATCTGCCTATTGCAAGTTGTTAATGACTCTTCTTCCAATCCTGATGCCACAGTCTTCTTCATATAAGAGTTTCTTGGATTATTTGTTCAGTATACAGAATAAGTATGATGAAAGAATACAACCCTGACACACACTTTTACTGATTTTAAACCATTCATTATCCCCTTATGCTGTTCAAATGACCATGGAATGGTCTATGTAGAAGTTTCCATGAGCAAAATTAAGTGTTTTAGAATACTCATTCTTCACAGTGTCATCCATATGTCATCCATATGTCAGAAGACTTTATATAGTCAATAAAACACAGATAAACATCTTTCTGATATTCTCTGCTTTCAGCCAAGATCCATCTGACATCAGCAGTGTTTTCCCTTGCTCCACATCCTCTTCCGAATCTTGCTTGTGTTTCTGGCAGTTCCCTGCCAATGTATGCTTTGGCAGATGCTATTGAATTATATTCAGCAAAATTTTATTTGTCTGTGATATTAATGATATTTTTAGATGATTTCCACATTCTGTTGGGTCACTTCTCTTTTGAATGGGCACAGATATGGATCTCTTTTAATCAGTTGGCCAGGTAGTTGCTTTCCAAATTTCTTGGCATAAATAAATGGTTACTTCCAGTACTGTATCAGTTTTTTGAAATATTTTAATTTGTATTCCATCAATTCCTGGACCCTTGTTCTTTACCAGTGTCTCCAATGTAGCTTGGACTTCTTCCTTTAGTACCATTGACTCTTGATCATTTACTACCTCTTGGAATGGTTGAATATCTATCATTTTTGAGGGAGGGAAGTTTACAGTGTCTGTTTATTACTTCCATCTTCTTTTGATGCTTTGTGAGTTAGTTAGTATTTTGTCTAGAGAATTCTTCAATTACAAGTCGAGGCTTGAATTTTTTTTTCAATTCTTTCAGCTTGAGAAATGCTGAGTGTGCTTGTCTATATTGACTTTCTAACTCCAACTATTTGCATATTTCACTATACTACTTGACTTTGTTTTCTCAAGCAACGCTTTGAAATTTTCTGTTCAACTCTTTTACCTCCTCATGTCTTCCATTTGTTTCAGCATCTCTATACTGAAAAGCAATTTTCAGTCTCCTCTGACATTCATTTTTTTAATTTTTTTTTTAAGGTTTTTATTGTGCATTGAGTGGAAGTTTACAGGGCATATCATCAGTTTTACATGCAACAAATCATATACCTTATTTCATTACA